GATAGCTGGTTGACTTATCTGAATTGTCGGCTGCTTGCGACGAACAAAAATACTCACCAAAATCCTTCTACTCATAAGTAATGCACGGAAGATGTATTTTTTAATACTGTAGTGACAGCACTGATGGAATGGAATGGTGTGGAGTGCTTGTTAATGATCTGCGCAGGATATCCATTTTCCTGCAAAGTACTAGGGATGAATTGAGTTTCATAAAAAAAAGAGGAGTCGGACCAATTTTCGCTTGTGTCTAAGTGGCACAAAGCTGAGAAAGTGGGTGTACTGGCTTAAGCACATCGCGTTGCGGACAACTCTGCTAATTAACCCATTTGCTCGACAACGCAATAGCATGTGTAGGAAGGCCAAATTACCGTCCTTTTCAGCATCAGCGATAAATTTCAGTGGTAAGAGTACACTATTGTAATTGTCTAGCACACCATTGCTGTCAATGGAAGCGTCACGAACGACTAAGGTGTCGTCCGCGTATAGATAATATGAATCCAGTGACGTAGTCAGGTTGCTTAGTGGTCAACGCTCGGCATCGTGATGAAGAACTCTGAAGGAGCAGGCCAAGGGGAGAGCCCACTGCAACCCCAAGGATCTGCCGGTAGTAAATTCCATCAAATTAGCACTGTACATGGAGAATGCATCGTGTGCTCAGTTTTCTCAGCTGCACAGTGGGATACCTACCAGTATGTTCCTTTCAGTAAGGTGATCACAAATGAAATTCCCAGTTTCTAACAGCGGTACCTTGGTGAAGGGTGGTTTTACACCAAATCAAATCATCAATCTATCGTTTACGTTTAAATCTTCTACTCGCTTAATAGTAACAAATGACTCTGTACTGGTATGAACAGATAATTTATTACGTACCGGCTCAAGTAGATCCGTAATCCATTTAGAGACTGAATGAAAGGTAGAGGAAGACATGTCGATTCTTAATCGCATGGAACGTTGGTGTTATATACCTTAGGTAGTCCGTAGAGCCGATGAGAATGTGAACCACATGGAACCAGCCCTGTGAAAAGCGAATTACCTATCTGGTTGGGCCCTTTCGGCTCCTAAGAAATGGTAGTGCGTTTTTTCCTCCTGTGCAGTTGTCTCTTTCTGTGTTGTGTCCTTACGAAATGTATTGTCAATCAGAATGGTATACAGCCCATATATGTAATTAAACTTGTCCATCTGTGCCCAGCCTGACCCCTTATCTGGTCGAAAACGGGTCAGCTGTGTCGGACAATAGTTATTTCGCGTTAAGATGTCCAATGTTGGGGACTTAGTGGCCCAATAATCTTGTGGGAAATGTACAAATGTGGTCTTAAATATATCAGTTGGAGAGGAAGGTGCTAAACTTCAACCAGTCAACTGCAATGCTGATCTATAGCAAAGCACATATTTCCATTCCAGTGAGAATATCAATATCAAGTGAGTGATGAGTTAAAAATTCTTTTCGAGTAAAGTCTCATCGGAACCAAACGTTTACATGGCAAAGATTAGATGCTGTTATCGTCAAATTGGACTGGGAAATTGATTACTGGGTTGTTTGAATAGTTAAGTCGGTCGTGGAGGGCTAGGCTGTAGATGGTAGGCAAATTTTGAAAGAGAAAAATATCACATAAAAGCTCGACACCAAAACCTAGTCGGCTCATTTGATATGATTTGCACTTACTACGTGATGCATTTGAATTCCTTGGAAAGATAACCAAGTTTAATCTTTCCGACAAAAGAATGATATAATTTGATGCCCACTCGCTGTTTACCAACATTCTGCTGCTCGAAACTGTAGAGTACGTGTTCGAAATGGCCCGGAAGCTGCTTATTTACGCAACTTCTCCGGAAACATTACTCTAAGAGGTATTACTTCCGTGCAAGCTAAACATCCAGTTCACCTTCAATTGTGAAATGTGTCATCAGATTGGCGCAGTGGCCATAGGATCTGCTTTGGGACCCATGTTGGTCGATATCGTTATGTCATAATTGGAACATGGTCCACTTAGAATGCACATTAGCGAGACCGAAATGTAGGTACGTTATGTGGATGACACTTTCGTACTTTTCCAAACGGGAAAGCATGCGGCGCAGTTATTAAAAACTTTTAATGACGCCCATGCGAATTTCCACATTAGTTGCAAGCATAAGTTTGGAAACCGTCTAACTTTTGCACCGGAAAGATCCATTTTTAAAAATAATTTGCCGTCATTTAACCATGCAAAAAGTCACATGGAATCGGCAGTGTACATTGGTGAGTTGGAAATGCAACATTTAGTCCAGTTGAAAAATCACGACAATATGTACTGTGCCAGTCACCTTCTTAACTACCACAATGGAAGTAGCCTAGGCTGAATAATTAATCTTGGTTAGCACGCTCAATTTCTCCAAGAGATTCATTTCTGTATCAACTAATGGAACGGCTGAGTATGGTACTGTCATTTTAGGACAGAATACTGGCTTTTCTTCGGATGCCACCTACAATGCAGCTCAAACGTTGGTGCACAATTTAAGTTCTGGTTGAAAACAGCTTCTCTACCCACAAGCTTGCCAAAATATCATTCTCCATTTTTCTATAAACAGTTGCGCCACCAGTTGAAGACACATTTCGTATATTCTGAGTTTGTGAGTCACAGACGGAACTGATTGGAACAGCTCGTAACTGCAACTCATCTATCCATTCAATGTCTCATAAAGTTACTTTAATTGCTGCTGCAATATAACACGCTCCTTTGCACTTGTTGTTTCGAAATGCGAACTCAAAGTTTCGTTCTCCAACGAAAAGAAATTGGCTTGCCAGAAACATACTGAGCAAAGAACCTAGTAACCCAATACTCCGGTTCACAAATGCTTTTCCAAGTTGAATGTGAAGTGACTGATATGTCAGAAGCAGTGTCGAGTTTTAACTGGCAAACTATTAATTAATAACGTGATAAATTTTCGGCCGTGCCTTCCGCGTGGACTGTATGTAGTGGACACCAGATTTGACTGCCTTTAGAATAGCGTTAACTGATGTCGCTTGGACAAACGGACCCAATGTCCCTATTTTTGATCTAATGTGCTACAATCTTGACATTTATGAAATCGAAATTCACAAAAACATGCAAAGTGCCAGGCATCACAATTCCAGCATGGTGTTGGTGATTTTTGGAACCATACTCGGACTAGAAAATCGGCTCTGTTCCACTTTGGATTCGGTGATTTTACCAACAGAAATCACACATGAATAACCGTTGCTTGACTGTAACATCTGTGAAGTCCAGTTCAGGTTTATCATTTTGAGGTATTCCGTTGTTAGATCACGCATGACAATGTCGCAGCTGGAATCGAGTTGTGATAGTAACCTTATTCTGATATCCAAATCTGCAGGTAATGTTAAGCTAAAATGCAGTGCCTTAAGTTGATCATCTGAAATTCTTTTATATTGAAATCTTCCACATTTTATGTGCAGTATTTCTGCATATGTCACGATATCTTCCTCTTTTGATCCAGTAATCTTTAAGCAATTCTAAAGAACGCTAAATATAGAAGTCCGTCATGCAAAAATGGTTGTGTGCTTATCCATTGTTTCTTGCAAACTGCGATCTCTTGGGTAATTTTGGCAAGATATAAATGCAATATCTTGCGTGTTCAGAGCCTACACATTGTAGTGTTAATAGCCGTAACTTTGCTGATTCATCCAATGTTGAACCGTCGACAAGAAAAATATCGTCATATCACTTGTACCAAGCTAAAAATGCATTGCCACTGTCTGGGTTCTAGCCGAATTCTTGAATTCTACTGGTCAATGTAACTTTGAGCTGAATATTACTACCGCTGTCTGCAACCACTGTTTCGTGAGCTGGAATCTTCTCTGCTAGCGTAGCAACTAAGTTCTGCTGCTGCGCTAATTGTCCTTGTTGGCTTCGTAACATTTATATGGCTACGCACTGATCAAACATCTCCGTCGCCAAACTGGTATCTCTTGTTAATAGTAGGAGACAATATTGGCACTGCTTTAAGATTCCTACTGGCGCATGCGGAAAGTACAACTGACTCATGGAACACAACTCAAGTTCGCCCACGATCAAACACGTCTGCTTGATACCAATCGATTTTCACGAGCTGTCTGATGGGCTGACAGTTTGACGTTGGTTCACACACGTGATATCTCTAACAGAGATCTAATCCTCACCTCCAGTATTGTAACTGAGGAAGTTTCTCATGGTTTGTCTCGCCTACTTAGTCCCGCTAGTTATCTCTCCGCGGAAGTTCCATGAAGCTAGGCGAAACGCAGTCGGACTGCATTAGAGCAGAAACTCGGCTAACGCGCCGTCATCGGATGCTGAAACTCGCTTCCAGAACGTCTTGTGTTGGAACCTATAGTTATGGGGGTTGCTTGTCAATTGGACACTCGCAGCTGATAACACGGAACCTGTACCTCTTCCTGACTAAATCTCATCTTCATACTTCGATTTTACCTCATGTACTTTCCCTCACGCACTGGTATTATCCTTTTTCAAATGACGTTCCTTATTTGTAACCTTCGTTATCTCTCCCTATCCCTTGCTTACTTCACGCAGCTGACACAGAAAGGGCTGTTAGTATAGGAGACGTGAGCGATGTTATTCGGGTGTTCCGTTTTGTCTTCATCAAGACATCGGTGTACATTGTCAAATCCTGGCCCAATGATCCTCTCAAGAAAGAACACTCACGCGGCTGTTCTATCGTTCTAGTCCCACTTGAACTCGAACTTGCTGCTTTGTTGCAAGGCACAAGTGTCGGATAGGTTGTCTCGTTATGTCACTACAACAGACGCATAGAACGGGTACAGTGAAATCGCAGTGTCTCGGATGGTTGACCTAATACAGTTAGAAATCACTTGCTAACCGTGTGAGGTTGCGTGTAAAACCGATTAAACCAGAGTGGGTTAGTTGGTCATTGAAGCTCTAACTGATGAGTGGATCGTAAATCCGCAAGAAATTCATCACTAAAGAGAAAAGCACAGTAGACCATCGATCCACAGCAGTCCAACTTACACTGGATGAAGCTGCCAGGTGGACGGCAGGTGTCATTTGCCAACCGGGGAGAATGTGAATGCAGCGAAGAATCGGCTCCAGTGTTGAGGTTTGAATGGGTAAATGGTGTAAACGATTTGTTAGATGAAAACGGTACGGTCTTAAGTGCACCATGGCAGTACCAATGACCAGGTGCGTCCTCTACTTGGTAGGCGCGCGCCGGTTCCAGTATGTTCTCGGGCTTTGACACAGCCAATTGGGTTCTGTCAGTGATGGTACAATCCCCACGCCCAGCGCTACCCGTTCCGTCTGCTGGCATGCCCAAACTTGGACTGTGAGATATCTGATCTTGCTGGCTGATGTGATCCTTGTGGAAAAGTTCATCGTCCTCCTCGAGACAGTGAATGGGTGTGAACGGATGGAACCAAGTTAGCCCACCTGAAGTAAGTGGAAAAGGATAGTAACCTCGAAGATGAGCTGTGAGCTGTGCAACGGTACAGTAAATTAAAAAACAGGTTATCAGTCGACGATGGGGCTAATTTCATATAAAACAACCGTTATTGAAAAATGGGTTCCAGATAGGATGTGAGCGCGTGGTCCCACCTGCGGACGATCGTGCGTGTGATGGTAAAAAGTGCAGAGGGTCAGCGATCTCCGAGTCTAACAATTTCCCCATACTGGCGAAGGGTGGGGAAGATAGAGGATCATTTCGGTTGTCTCGAGTGACCACGCGTTGAACTGGGCGCAAGTTACGAGGAAGCGAACGACTTCTTTTGAGAATGGTAAGCATTTCAGCTAACTGCTGCTCCGCTCGACTCCTCAGTTCGGACAAACGTTGACGCAGCGATTGCTGTGGCAACTCTGAATCAATGTGATCCGCAGATTGAGCAGAGGACATCGAATCTTCCGAATCCCGAATCGGCTTGCTCCTCTGACGAAATCGTCGGTCACCGCTGGTAAGGCATTCTTGTATACCAAAAAGAGAAGTGGAAACGTTGGGAGTTTTTATCGGTAAAGGTAAGGTAAAACAAAGCGACATTTAGAAACAGTTGTGTCATGCAACATTGAATGCTTGCAATATATCTGATGAATGACCAGGCGCAACACCAGTGGAGTAAAGACGTTCGCACCAATGATCTAAGCACAACAACGTTCAGAGAGAAATAGACGTTTCGTGGTCATATGAAATGCTCCACACTGCGCTTATCTGTTAGACGGAAACACGTATTCCCCATAGTCAGTATCGTGCTGGTCGATACTCCTAAACCCAGCAACCGTTAGTTGAGAAGTAGGTCAACGTTGATGGCGAATAGTGAGAGTGAAATGGCCAGGCCGAACACCATGCGACTTAGACCTTACCGCTCACCTGTCAACGACAGCATCATGCACGCTTTTTACGCGCAAACGGTGTGAAGCAATGTGACGGATGCACCCTCGGGGTATGGACGAGATGCAGGTTCCAGCAACTTGGAAGCATGGAATCGTCACTCCCTTTCACAAGGGGGAAGTCGCGCACATCCGGCCAACTATCGCCCGATAACTCTCTTGCCTGTGCAATCCAAAGTCAAGGATTATATTATTGCCGAAACGCTTATGGATAACAGTAGGATTCAACATCATAGCAGTAGAGCAACATGGATTCCGCCAGAACCAGTTTTGCACCTCAAATTTGCTACTTACTCGTTTCAGTTGAACTGATACCGTCGACAGTTGTGTGGGCGTTGATGCGGTTTATCTGGATTTCTCAAAGGCGTCCGTAACTTCGTGTCCTCACCCACAAGTTTCAGAGTTGTGAATTGGTGACACGGTCTTCAGTTGGACAGGTAACTTTTGTTTTAAAGACATCTGAATATTGGAGTTCGCGGCGACACCTTTGATCCATCGAATTTCGGTGTAAAGTGCCCTAGGGTTACGCTTATGCATGGTTTCCATAAACAACCTTGCAAGAGTAATAACCTCCATTTTTCACTCTTTGCTGGGGATCTTAAGATATGGTGGGCCAGCAAAACTACACGTGACCACGTAGCATTACAGGACAACCTCCAAAGGGTATACGAATGGGCGACTCAGAATCTGCTTCATTTCAACGCCAGCAGGTGAAAGAAATTGAGCATACGCCATCAATCCGCTGGCGAGTACAGGCTGGGGAATTACGTTTTGCTGCGCGTTTCTCCTGAATGTTATAGAGGAGTGATGGTACATTATGATATTGTCTATTCATGTCAGGCTGAGTAAACTACAAAAATAGCCAACCAACACCTTGGTACCTTGCGGTGCGCATTCGGGGGCTTTGACCCTTGCATCCTCTCAGATGCTGAACGACGCCTACATGGCTTTTTGTTAATGACATTTCAGCTCCTGAGAAATCCCAACCATGCTTGCTGTAAAATTCCGATCATAAACCTCAATGCCAAAGTGACGTACTAGCAACTATATCTGAATACAAAGTATAGCCGGTTGGAATACCGCCGGGATTTCACTTCGCCATGTGTGTCAACCTTGCAACACCATCGCTACTTAAGTTGTTTCCTTCCCACATTAGTGATATAAAAATGCTTCGATGAAGCACCTATACCGGAGCAAGGATGTCCCGATATCGCTGCTGCCAGAAATGTTGCGTGCTCTCAAGAGCCTTTCTCGTGGAATCCGGGCAAGACTTGGCACATCGTCAGTAAAACCTACAATTCTAACGGTTCAAAAGGTTTCAGAGGAACCTCTGCAGCTGAAAGAAAGAATCGCCTGTGAACGTAGACTCAATGATTTGCTACACTATGGAAAAATCTACCCAGTATCTTGTACCAATGTGAAGCTGCACGGAACCAACCGGATTACGAAGTTAGATTTGCTCAAAGAGTCAATGACTCATGTGAGTCCGGTAACGACTATTACTTTCTGCAATATTGGTCGTACCTGTACCCAAAAACTTATGTCTTTACCAGCTTCCAGTACGGGCGACACTGATGTCTTGACCGAAGCCCGAACCCCCATGGTCGCAGATCCAAGTGGACCTAGGTGGATTCCCACGTCGGAAGAGATGTGACCTCCAGGTAACCCAATTTTAAAAAGGGAGGTGTTACGCAGAGAGTTTACAGCTAGCAATCAAGCTGAGAGCAGTGTCGTAAAAGTGCAATTAGAGATCGAACTCGACTATAGATCAAAATGCGAATTGATGCGGAATCAGAGGCAAGTTGGATCACGAACTTGAACCATTTGAGTTGTGTTACTTAACGCCAATTAGCATCTCCAATATTGTTGTTTAAGTAGTTGCTCACAACCTATTTATTGGGCCGTGCTCTCATACAATAAGCCTCTCTGTCTACCGAACCTTGGTCTTCTGCATTCCGTTGGTGGGCTGGGCGCGTGACTGAGCAGTTAGACAGTCGCAGTCTCAAGGGGCAGCTAGCAGCAGTACAACAGTCGTCAGAGGCAGAGAGCAGAGGCAAAGAAAGAAGCGTTGCATCGCCCTTTCTAACTGAGTATCAACGTAACACCCAGAATACAAACACTCCGTTTTTCACGTTTACCGAATCACCTCTACATGTTATCAGCTGGGTGGTCCGTGAATTTTCCGTTCGCTCGAATGGTTCGGCTGCTGTATTCCAAAACGAGGTGGATTTTTGTCAGATAAGTGTTCTCTCTGTGAGAGGCCAAACATAGCTGCGCAACGTTGCGGCGCAGCAGATATAACTCGCCATTAAATAAATGCACTGCTCCCTTGTCTTCCTTGGAGAAGATGTGTACTCCCAAACAATCTGAGCAACGAGTTTCGCCTCTGACGTCGGAAGTTTTGGACCCATGCTATAGATTATTGCCATCCAAAGGCATTTGAACTAAGGGTTCAGTCAACAGCTCCCAACCAGTGCGAATTCCTGATCTCGCCCTACTGTCTTGTGGGTTAGGCGCTTTGGCCAAAGGCTCGGGGCGGTGGTCACCTGAGACAACTTAACTACTTCTGTATAGGCAACCGCGTAGTACCTCGCCTTCTGATGAACCATGGAAACGCACTCACACGGTCTTGGTCTACTTTCTCGCCACTGCGACAACTTTAAAAATACATGCCACTCGCTTATCAACCACTCCATTGTAGCACTGACCCCCCTTTGCGTTTTGAAAAGCACTTTAGTTGACCGAAATTGTTTGATTCCTCAGCGGCCGGTGATCGCCCTGTTCGGTGGACTGTCCCTTTGGATCAACCATCTCACTCAGAAGTCAAAAGTGAGATTAGACTGTTGGAACTGAACAAAGCCGCAGGACCAGTTGACCTTCATTCAGCCTTCTCCAAATTCGGTCGCCCTGCTATTGTTGATGATGTACACGAATTGCTAGTGAAACTGTAGGAACAGGAAACAGTCCTAACCGATTGCAGCCGCTCCATTATGGTTCCCATCTTCAAAGGAGGCTCGCGTTCGGAATGCTGCAACTATAGATGAATCAGTCTGATCTCATCGCCTCCAAATTACTCGCATCCATAATCCTTCACAGATTGACTGGCGCTCGTGAAAGCCAGATTCGTGAGGAGCAAGCCGGGTTTCGTCGGGGTCGTGGCTGCATCAACCACATCTTCACCTTGCGTCAGTTGTTGGAGCACCGTCACACACACTGGCGGCCCACCATAGTCGTGTTCCTTGACATCAAAGGTGCCTTCGATGCGGTTGATCGGTGTGCCCTTTTAGACTGTCTACTCAGGAAAGGTGTGCCCGAGAAATATGTAAATATTATCCGAGCAATATACGCGTGTAGCGTGGGCAGAGTGAGGTCTTACGGCAAGCTTTCGACGTGCTTCCATATCTCCAGCGGTGTGAGACAAGGATGCTCGCTGTCACCTTTCCTATTCAACTTCGCTATTGACAAAGTCATGGAAGTTGCATATACAGGACACGATACAGAAGGTGTGGAGCTATTTCCAGGAGAACGACTTCTTGACTTGGAGTATGCAGACGATATTGCCCTCGTCTGTGACAGCTCCCAGATGTGTCAAGCTGCATTGGATAGATTGGCACTGGCTGTCAGCCGGTTAGCGGTTTTCTTTGCACTATCTAAGTGCAAAGCTTTCCTCCAAGATTGGCAGGAATCGCCTCCTGTGCTGACCTATGGTTGGGATCAGCTAGAAGTCGTTCAGAAATTCAACTTCCTAGGAAGTTGTATCAGCGCCCGTGAGATTGAAGATGAGATCACTAACGGTACAGCAAAAGATCGAGGTGTTTTTGCTAGTCTTCGCCACCTATGGCGACGGCGCGACATCACTCTCGCCCTGAAGGGTAAAGTGCACAATACAGCGGTACGTTCGACCCTACTGTACGGTTGTGAAACCTGGCAACTTAGATCAGCGGACACAGAGAGTCCAGTTACGTTCGACCACCGGTGCCTTCGCAGTATGAATCACAACTGGTAGGAACATCTTGTGAGCAACGAGCGTGTTCGACGCCTTGTTTACGGCACGGGAAAAGGAAATGAACCGCTCAGCACAGTGATTTCAAGTACCAGGCTCCAATGGCTCGGCCACGTGTTACGCATGCCAGCCCACCGACTCCCGCGACGTGTGTTGTTTGCTCGCCGGAGGTTTGGATGGAAGAAGAGGAGGGGTGGCTAAGCGATGAGTTGGTCGAGAGAAATGAAGAGCCTCTCTTCTGAGCTGCCTTCGGTTGGAGTATCACTGCTCCCTGGAGGTGTCCAAAAGACCATGAACACGTTTGGCTAGATACACATGCTGACATGACTACGAGCCGACCTCAGTGACGTTCCTGCTGCGAATTTCTTCGTCCTTCACTATCCCTTTTAGCCTCTCTCTCCAACCACGATCTCAGTTATTCGCATAACTTTACATCATAATTTTTCTTGTTGTCTAGTAGTCGGCTGGTAGGTTTCTGCTGCTGGTAGCTCAGTTGACTTGCACCAGTTGCATTTCTCCCATTTTTCTTTATGTATTGCGGTACAGTAGCTAACGTGTATAATGATGAATGATGACG